CAAGCCTCATCATTCACAAGGTGCTGTGGTTAACTGTCCACAAGGGCAGGATGTGAATCATTTGGAGCTGGGATTGGGGGTTGTGGTTGGGGCTGGGGGTTTTGTTTGGTGGTTTGGAGTTGGGGGCTGGGGGTTGAGGGTTGGGAGTTGGGGTTGGGGATTGAGGCTGGGTTTGGGGGTTGGGGCCTCAGGGTTGGGGCTGGGGGTTGAGGGTTGGGGATTGGGGTTGCGGGGTGGCGCTGGGGGTTGGGGGTTGGGGCTCCAGGTCAGTGATTACTGCTGGCTAATCCCTCTTGTTGGGTTGGAGGAGGATTTACAGCGTGTGAAAGGCTGCAGAGGGAGGGGAGGTGGAGGGAGATTGTTCCAAACGCCAGTGTGTGTGACGGGGTTGGGGGAACAGAGAGCGGGATTAGGCAACGGGACAATGGGAAACAGGAAGATAGGAGACAGGCCAAATGGGAATTACAACAGGAAAAATAATGACATGTTGAAAAGAGGAAATGGAGTATAACCGATCAGAAAGGTGGAGAGGGGGAGGGCAGGGGGGTGAGTGAGGGGGAGCAGGCGAGGGGGAGCAGGCGAGGGGGAGGGGGGGAGGGACTGAGAGGTTCTCAGACAAGACGAAGGGAGGGGAACACTTGCATTGTAAAAGCACATTCACGGCTACAGTTACTGAGCTTTTCTGAGTAAATTAATTTATTGTGTGTCAGCCGAGCTGGTGGCTCAGTGGTAGTTTTGTCAGAGGTGCCGGCCTTCGGATGAGACGTTAAACTGAGGTCCTCGTCTGCCTGTTCAGGTGGACATTAAGTGTGGTGGACATTAAAGATCTCATGCCACGACTGCAGTAAATTTGTTGGCCCAGATTCCCATTGTGCTAACTGTAACATACATAGTAAGAATAATAACCCTAACAATGACCCCTTTATTTGGTATTGGGTCTTTCACGTCAAGGGGAGCATCTCCAACTGCTCCACACGGTTTCACTATCAAGTGTAGTGACAGTACATTTGCTGTCACCCACAAACAGCCATGAAGATGAATGACCATTTCTTGAGGGTGTGTGGGGGTTGGGGGAGAGGATTGTCGGGCAGGAAACCAGCCGAGGAACTCTCTAACGTAACAATCTAGCGCAGTGTGGCTTTCTCTGTGTGATCAGCCTCTGACACAGTCTCCACCACAATCAACAGCAAGTTGCATTTATATATAGCTACCTTCAGGCAGGATAGCATCTCTGAGCACTGAAGCTGTGTGTGTGTCTGTCTTCAAATTGTCACCAGCTCCGGGTGGGGGCTGTTCTTCTTCTGTGGGGTTGGGGGTAAAATCATGAGCAAAAGCAGAACCATCTGTTTCGAGGCTGTGTTCAAACACACACACAGAGTTAATGAGTTGTGGTGTCTGTTTAGTTGCTGCGTCCGTCCGCTGTTCAACGCTGGGGACCAGTCGGTTAGGTTAACAAACCTCCGCCTATCTGAATACAGCAGATTATTAGTCCTTTGTTTTTTTACAACCAATTCGTTCATCGAAAAAGCCCTGAAAACTCGCTTAGTGTGAGCAGCAAAACCTTACACAACTCCGCACCCAAACCCAATCCGAACGTCAATTCATTAGTTATAATAAAACTATTAGCACAACAGCAAACAAAGGAGTAGAGTCAGTGCAGGACAGCGTAGAAGCAAACGGCAGAGCCCCTATCTGTAACAAAACCCCCTCTCTCCACCCCCCCTCTCACCCCGAGCGAGCTTCCAAACCCCAGGTAAAGATAAGCCCCTCCTCCGATAAATAATAAAACTCTACATATTAACCAACAGATGTTTTTGACCCGAGCAGGAAGAGTGGTAGATGTCCGCTGTTATGTTCACTGATTGCTGAATCGGACTCAACATCAGAGGAAAATCTCAGTACATAAAAGGTTTACAGTCAGTTTTATTACTAATGCACATCAGAACCCCCCACTCACCCCCACCCCCCGACTGCCTCTCTCTCTCTCTCTCTCTCTCTCTCTCTCGGGGGCTCCTAACATCTGGTATCTCCTTAAAACTTTATGGCGTTGAATTGAAACTGCCCAGTGAAGCTCTCTGCATATCGCCCACCAGTAATCGCCACTGTGTGCAATGTTATATTAGACACGACCCAAAAGACTTTTATTACTGACTGCTTATGATGTTTATTCCACTCCGTGGTTATATCTTAGTTGCCTTGCAAATAGGCTCAACTTAATGGGTTCCCCCAACCGCCCTTAGAAAATCTGTGGCGTTTTACTAACATTGTCAGGAAAAGACTTGATGATAATAATAATCCTCGCATTTGATACAGCGCCTTATCACGTCGTTGAGACGTCTCAAAGCGCTTCACAGGATATATTGAAAAGTGGATTGACTATATGTTTTGTGGACAAAACGCAGGAGCCAATTGCGCACACGAGTTAGAGGGTTAAAGAGTTAGCGAGTCAACGAGTTAGAGAGTTAGTGAGTTAATGAGTTAGAGAGTTAATGAGTTAGAGAGTTAGCGAGTTAGAGAGTTAATGAGTTAGTGAGTTAGAGAGTTAGTGAGTTTGAGAGTTAGAGAGTTAATGAGTTAGAGAGTTAATGAGTTAGAGAGTTAGTGAGTTAGCGAGTTAGAGAGTTAGAGAGTTAATGAGTTAGTGAGTTAGAGAGTTAATGAGTTAGAGAGTTAGTGAGTTAGAGAGTTAGCGAGTTAAAGAGGGGCTTAGCTTAGGAGAAGTGCGAAAACGAACTCATTTATTTTCTCATGTTCGTCACACAGATCCAATTGAAGGATAAATTGCGGAATTAAATTGTTTTATTTTATTTGAAAAGAAGGGGGGGCGGGGAATAACCCCACCCTGAAATCAGGAAATCATCACTGTTTAATTAAAGCCTAGAATTGGGTCGAAAAGACGCAGTTTTGTTTGGGACCTGCGGAGTGAATATTCACAATGTCTGCACTAAACACTCCCCGACACTTAGAAATGGTCTCCCCTCACCCCTCCTCCCCACCCCTTCCCTTTCTCCCCAACCCAACACCACCACCCCAACCGCCCCGCCCCCCCCCCCCCCCAGGTTATCTCTGGTGTGGTTACAGATGACTTGCTGTCAAAGGGCAGTTCAGATGCCTTCACACCACATCCACTGAAGCTAAAGAACTCCAAATCACTTAACTTTCCACCGTAACAACGGCAGTATTTAAACAACAGCCCCCAGGCGTAATTAAATTGAGCAAAGAGGTTAGTTTACAGCTTATTGTGAGTGGGAAGTCACAGGTGGCTCCCTGACAATGCCAGCAGTAAGCTTAAGGTCTCCCAGTGTAATCCTCAAGGCTTCTGTCCTCGACCACAAAGCTTCCCCGACATCAGCTGTGACTGAAAGTGACCGGCGCGATACACCTGCGCTCTCCCCAAACAGGGATCTGTGGGGGCAACGGGCTTCTTGTTGTGTGAACCCCTTTACACCCTCATTACCCAACGGCTCAGTACAATGAGTACAAGTTATCTAACAATGCTACACGTCCATACTGTGGGGATATGACATACAGCCTGTGTGTAAATCGTGTATATACTGTATGTAATAATAATAATAACCGTAATGATCCTTGCATTTGATATAGCGCTTCATCACCTTGTTGAGACGTCTCAAAGTGCTTCACAGGATATACTGCAAAGTGGAGTGACTGTATTTTGTGGGCGAAACGCAGCAGCCAATTGCAGACAGCAGCGTCCCCACAAACAGTCGTTTTTCTTTCCTAGGAGGGATTATTACCCTCGGAAAGCGATCCGACAATCAACTAACAGCCGGGTTCCGACTTACTGCTGAGTAAACAGAGCTGCGTGTGTGGAGTAACCAAACTTGCCTAAGGTTTCGTCCCGCTGGGGAATCGAACCCGGTATTTGCGCACACTGCTATTTGCAATTGGCTGCTGTGTTTCGTCCGCAAAATACACAGTTAGTAAACGTTACAATATATATTCTGTGCGGCGCTTTGAGACGTCTCAACCACGCGATAAAGCACTATATCAAATGCAAGGATTATTATTATTTTTATTATCTCGTTATTGAAGAGTGGAGAGAGAGAGAGAGAGAGAGCGGGTTCTGTTCCAACAAATCTATCTCTGGGAATCTCCATGTGGAGGTGGGAAGCATGGAATCCTCAGTCTGGTTTGGAGACTCTTAAGCAACGGTGATGGGTTTCCGCGTGTGTCAGACTCTCGACTGACCCCCCCCAAAAAAAACACAAGGATAGTACAGGATGACCAAAAAGTCGTGATATCTACTCTATTATCTAAAAAAACCCAAATATCATCACTTCTTTAAGACTTATTAGAAATTGTAATGGTATCACTCCTTTTTGGTCACCCTGTAGAGAGGGTCAATCTATCCACTGAAGATCGAGGCTTTTGCGTTCGAACGATACCGGGGGAAAGAGATCTCCATGTTATGTTAATTGTGTTAATTAATTAAGAACTCCGTCGCCAGGATTCTCACCTGCACAAACCTCCCGACACCCACCACCCCAGTCCTCGCCAGGCTCCACTGACTCCCAATTTCCGAACGGATCGACTTCAAGATCCTCTCTCTCGTTTTCAAATCCCTTTGTGCCCTCGCGCCTCCCCACCCCAACCGACTTGCTCAGTCCCCCCCACTCCCACTTCACCACCCGCTCGGCTGACTCCGGCCTCCTGCTCGTCCCTCTCCCCCACTCCTCTCCCCCATCGGCGGCCGTGCCTTCAGCCGCTACACCCCGAAATTCTGGAACCCTCACCCTCAATCCCTCCGCCTTGCCCCCCTCCCTCGCTCCCCATTTTCAAATCCTGCCTAAAGACCTTCCTTTTTTGATCGTGCTTACAGTCAACTCCCCCACTCCTCCCGTCTCCCGCCTGGCTCGGGGTCGGACTCCGCCACTGTCAAGCGCTCCGGGACACTACCCCGCACGAAGGGCACTGCGTAAATGCAAGTTGTTGCTGTGGTTGTGTTGAAGGTATGGCGTTTTCTTTCCCTTTCGCCGCAGGCTGTTTGCCACCAAGTGCAGCGGTTGTGGGGAGAAGATCTCGGCCAGCGAGTTTGTGATGCGAGCCCTGGAGAGCGTGTTCCACCTGAGCTGCTTCTGCTGCTGTGTGTGCGATCGGCAGCTGCGAAAGGGCGATGAGTACGTACTGAAGGAAGGCCAGCTCCTCTGTAAGAGCGACTACGAGAAGGAAAAGGAGCTCCTGAGCTCTGTCAGCCCCGACGACTCGGACTCAGGTGAACTACACTGCTTCAGTCAGCGAGCAGTAATAATAATAATAATAATAATAATCCTTGCGTTTGATGTAGCGCCTTATCACGTCTTCGAGACGTCTCAAAGGATACACTGCAAAGTGACTTGGCTGTGTGTTTTGTGGGCGAAACGCGGCAGCCAATTGCGCACAGCAGCGTCCCCACAAACAGTCGTGGATTGAGTGATTCGGGAGGGATTATTACCCTCGGAAAACGATTCGCCAATCGACTAACAACCGGGTTCCTATCCCCTCTGGTTACGGTATGGAGTAAGGAAACTTGCCCGAGCGAAACCTTGGGCAAGTTTCCTTATTAAATGTTGGCCAAACTTCCTTATGGAACAGGTTCCCTAGCGAGACGGTGGAAGCAGACAGTGTTGTTTGTTTCAAGAACAAATTAGATAGATTTCTGTTAGACAATAATATCTGGGGATACAGTGTATAGTTTGCGACACGACATGTCAAGCGACTGCCAGGATGGTGGAAGGGGAAATAGATGGACCTTGCTCTTCTTTTGCCAGCGAATTATTATATTCTTATGTAATATTATGTCGGAGTGTGTTTGGGGAGGACAAGTTTATAGGGCTATGGGGAGAGTGGGATTGATTTGGAAGCTCTTTTCAAAGAGCTGACATAGACACGATGGGCTGAATGGCCTCCTACTGTGCTGTATAATTCTATGATTCTATGATTACACGTGTTTTTTGAAGAAATAATGATATCACACGCACACACACACACACAGATAGGACCTCTGCAAATTCAATTGCAGAGGTTCTATCTGAGGGTATGTGATTGTGTGTATGAGTGAGGGTGAGTGTGTGTGCAGTGAGAGTGAGTAGGTGTGCCTGTGTGTGTATGAGTGTGTGTGCGTGCCAAAGTGTGTGAGAGTGAGTGTCAGGGAGGGTGTATATATGTGTGTGTGTGTGAGTGTCAGTATAAGTGTTTGTGTGTGTGTTTATTGTACCTGTGTGTGCGTTTGTGTTGCTAGTACTAAACCCGTCTCTAACCTGTTTGCAGTGAAGAGTGATGACGAGGACTGTGATATTAAACCCAGTAAATGCCCGGGGGGGCAGGGCAAGGCTTCCGAGGATGGCAAAGACCCCCGGCGACCCAAACGTCCCAGGACCATCCTCACAACACAGCAACGGAGAGCGTTCAAGGCCTCGTTCGAGGTTTCTTCCAAACCATGTAGAAAGGTGATCGCCTGCCCTGCCCTTCTCTGCCCTGCCCTGCCCTGCCCTTCCCTGCCCTTCTCTGCCCTTCTCTGCCCTGCCCTGCCCTGCCCCCGCTCTACTCTATGTCTCTAACAACCCTCGAATTTACCCTCAACATTAATTTACCCTCAGTCATTAATTCTTTACCAGGTTCCCCTGTTGTTGTTGTTGTTGTTTTGGAGGCATTTTTTACATTACAACCAACAAACAATCTATTTCTCTCCTTTTTCTTATTTGGGAAAGTCCGAGGAGATTCCCAAAGGGTGGTTGTTTGTTAGGCAGAGTCTCCCGGCGTTGTGGAAACGCTCCAGATGATTTTCCTGTTATCTCGACTGAGATTGCGGGATTCCTTCCCGAATCCTTATCATATCGGAGTGGGAGGGAGGGAGAGGGAATGGCCTTCAGGAAAGGCAGCTGTTATAGCTGGCGCTTTCCTTCCCAATCTTTTCCTGGGTTTCTTTAACCTTTTTCCTGGGAATTTTCAGCCCGCTTCCCAGGAAACCTTGGCCCTATTTCCGGGCCGAGGAATGTGGCGAGGGCGAGCGGCGGGAGGTTTTGGGACCGTGCGCGCACGGATGGCAGCCTGCGGGAATGTTAGGAATAATTGTCTCGTTCCTCGTCCGTGCAGGTGAGAGAGACGCTGGCGGCGGAGACTGGGCTGAGCGTGCGAGTGGTTCAGGTCTGGTTCCAGAACCAAAGGGCGAAGGTAATGTTTATTATTATAATAATATAATAATAATATGATCATTATAATAATATAACAAATATGATAATATTCATATATTAATAATATAATTATAACAATATATTATTTATAATATCAATGCAATAATATAATAATTATAATAATGTAATATTAATAATAATATTAATGCAATATATAGTAATTATAATAATATTAATATCATAATAATATAATTATAATAATCCTTGCATTTGATACAGCACTTTATCACGTTGTTGAGACGTCTCAAAGCGCTTCACAGGATATAGTGTAAAGTGGATTTTCTTCCCTTTGTTTTCTCGTTCTGTCTCTCTTAAGATGAAGAAACTCGCCCGACGACAACAGCAGCAGCAGGAGCAGCAGAACGGACAGCGTCTGGGACAAGGTGAGGCCCTGTCGAGAGGGAGTGCGAGGAGAGAAGGCAAAGTGGGAATGCATCGATATCCCTGTCTGGCAAGCTGCTTGTCCAGCGAGGACCACCCTACCCATCAGGGCCTTGGCTTGCAGGGGCAGGGATATGGTATCAATGGCAACCCATTGCGGTTTTAGCTGGTTAGATTCCTAGCTAGCTAGTTACCCCCAACCAACATACACTCTGGGGTTCCCCCACCACCCCCCAAGCCTTAGCTCTCACCAACCTGCACCTAATACTCACCGGAATTAGGTAAGCAGGATGTGTCCCTCCAGAGAGAGAGAGAGAGAGAGAGCGCAATCCATTTCAACCATCTATCTCTGGGATTTCCAGGTGTCGGTGGGATGATGGAATTCTCAGTTGGGTTTGGATACTCTTAAGCAACGGAGACGGGTTTCCGCGTGTATCTGACACCCGGCTGAGCAAAACAAATACAGAGTAGGGTTAGTGGATAGGGTTAATCTTTCTACTAAAGATCGAAGCTTTTCTGTCTGACAGATACCCGGGGAAGAGAGATCTCCGTGTTTTGTTGAACGTATCGGTGATGGTGTTTGTCCGATAGGCTGACCTATGTGTGCGTGTTTGCCGCACAGGGGTGTTTGGCTGACCTGTGTGTGTGTTTGTCACGGAGGGTGTTTGGCTGACCTGTGTGTGTGTTTGTCACAGAGGTGATGTCTACCCGGATGGATGGGATGTTGACCTCCTACACGCCCCTGGCTCCTCCGCAACAACTCGTGTCCATGGAGCAGAACGGTTACAACTCCGATCCCTTCCAGCAGGGCCTCACTCCGCCACAGATGCCAGGCGACCACATGAACCCATACGGTGAGTGCCCCCCGGCCCCCCCTCCGCTCGCCTGCCTGCCCGCCCGCTTGCCAATCCACGCTCACCGTCCCCGAGGCTCGGCTCCTGACCACACTGAGCGGCCGGCAGGAACATGGCCCTATCTGCCCGGGCTCTCCTGAAAAGGAATGTTAGACTGACCGACGCTCAGGAAAGAGGCCATGGCACTCGCTCGCTCGCTCGCTCACTCGCTTGTGTGGAGAGGAGGAGAAGCAGCTCATTACACAGAGATACACAGAGCAATACAGCACCCAAACAGTCCAGCAAAAACAACAGCTTGCATTTCTATAGCGCCCTTCATACGTGGCAGCCTCCAGGAGCGCTTAAAACAGTGCACCTGTCTGTCTGTCTGTTTGTCTGTCGGTGTGTACATCTCTCTGTCTGCCTACCTGTACATCTCTGCCTGCCTGCCTGTCTGTCTGTCTGTGTCTCTCTCTCTCTCTCTGCCAGTCTCTCTCTCCGCCTGTCCGCTTGTCTCTCTATCTATCTAAGGTTGAAGAATTCCCAGTGTTTCTGGTTTTATGTCCGAGGTTATTAAATATTTACGCGGCAGTTCCAGGATCGCTCTATTTTACGATTACCAGCGGAGCGGAGCGAGGCGTGTGTGCAAAACTCATTAAAAATGGAAACTTCATTGTGGGTTGCCTGTTAAATGATTCATCGACATGGATTTATTTAAAGGCTCCCTCTGTGCTCTCTCTCTGCCATTCAAATTTACAAACTGAGGTGGAGAGATGTTTGTTAGGTCAGAGTATCGAGGGATATGGGGTAAAGGCGGGTAATTGGACTTGAGGTACAGATCAGCTGTGATTTTATAGAGTGGCAGAACAGGCTCAAGGGGCTGAATGACTCCTGTTCCTATGTTCCTATATGTGGAAACATAGAAACTGTGGAGTCCTGTAGCTCAGTGGTTAGATCACTCGCCTCGCAAGCGACAGGACCTGGGTTCGATTCCCGGCCAGAGAGAAACCTTGGGCAAGTTTCCTTACTCCACACGCCTCTGCTTACACAGTCGTAAGTAGGAACCCGGTTGTTAGTCGATTGGCGGATCGCTTTTCCGGGGATAATAATCCCTTCCACAAAAGAAAAAAATTGGCCACTCAATCCACGACTGTTTGTGTGGGAAGCTGCTGTGCGCAATTGGCTGCTGCGTTTCGCCCGCAAAATATACAGTCACTACACTTTACGGTATGTTCTATGAAGCGCTTTGAGATGTCTCGAAAGAGGCAATAAGGCGCTGTATCAAATGCAAGGATTATTATTATATATTACGTATTCATATTATTAATATTATTATTGTATATTAATATAATTTTTATTATTGTATATTATTGTTGCATATTAATATTATTATTATTATTGTATATTTGCAGGTAACGACTCCCTGTTTCACGACATTGACAGTGACACGTCGCTCACCAGCCTCAGTGACTGCTTTCTCGCCTCGTCTGAAGTCAACCCTCTGCAAGCCCGGGTGGGTAACCCCATCGACAGGCTTTACTCCATGCAGAACTCCTATTTCTCCTCCTGAAAAGAAAACACAGAGCAAAACAAAGCAATGAAGCAACACAGCGAGCCAGCCAGTCGCACACAGCCCAGCCCAGCCCAGCCCAGCCCAGGGGGTTTACAAACCGACCGACCGATACATCAATCGCAGTGACTTGGAGTGGAACAGAAGGAGAGGACAGGAGGATATATATATATATAAATATATATATGTATAAATATATAAAACTGTGCAACCACACATTACTACCCGAGAAGGAACAATGAACGTTTTGCCCGCAAACTATACGGTCAATTCGCTTTACAGCGTATCCTGCGAAGCGCTTTGAGACGTCTCAACCTCGTGATACGGCGCTGTATCAAATGCACAGACTATTTTTATTATTAATGAACTCAACCGCTGTCTCTCACGTGGCTGTGATGAGTTAGTGGAAGTTCTATTGTCGCCCCAGAGAGAGAGAGAGAGAGAGACGGACACAAGGATTGGGGTGAAGCACAAACAACAGACAGACCCCTGTGTAGCGATCCGGTTCCATTTGCCCCCTTCTCCCCCTTCCCCCCCCCAGGTCTCCTCTCCACCCCCCGAGACATGGATAGTGTGACAGTGCTCCCCACTTTCCCTTTGTCTGTCTCCCTTGCCCCAGAGTTTGAGTCCATTTGTCGTCTCAGATTCACATCTGTGTAATGTACGTATGTGTGTGTGTGTAATGTCTGTGTAATGTGTGTGTATGTGTAGTGAATGTGTGTAATTTGTAGTGCGTGTGTATGTGCAGTGTGTACGGGTAGTGTGTATGTAGTGTGTGTGTGTAATGTGTGTGTATGTGTAGGGTGTGTGTATGTGTAGTGTATGTGTGGTGTGTATATGTGTAGTGTGTGTAATGTGTGCGTGTGGTGTGCGCGTGTAGTCTACATGTTTGTGTGTAATGTATGTGTAGTGTGTTTGTAATTGTTGAATTTGGTCTTAAGTGATTTCTCTCTCTCTCTCTCTCTTGCTCTCATTCTTTCTCTCTGCAGTTCTTAAAAGAAACTTACCAGAAACAAAACGGCTTGAAAAAATGTGACCCTGAGTTTAGGAACTTACCCAATTCCAGACATTCTGCAATGCTGAGCAAATTTCGCCCACAAAATGTACAGTCAATTCACTTTACAGTGAATAAGAGCTTTGAGACGTCTCGAAGACGTGACAAGGCGCTGTGTCGAAGGCAAGGATTATTATTATTAAAATAGCGCAAATCTAGACTGGGGTGGAATTGTCTCGATCAGGAGAGTGTTTGGCAAAGTATATAGACATCACTAGGGCAAGGGATGTGCCAAACAGGGTTCTTCCTGGTGTAAGTTGAGTTCCAATAAATGGAGACTATGTTAGGTAAGACCCCTGGACACATTCTTAGTCATTTTTCGCCAAGAAGTCTTCACGTTTAGTTGGTGTTTGAACGCTTTGTAGATAGGGCTCAAATTCCCCACATAAAGCGGGAAATTGTTGAGTCTGGTCTTAAATTGGATGCTGTGAAGGGGTGGGGGGGGGGAAGGGGGGAGAGAGGGGGGCAGTGGGGGAGGTCTGACCCACACGGAAACCCATCACTCAGCTTCACCGTATCCGAACTGGATTGAGAGTTCCACGCATCCCACCTACGCGTGGGAGTTCCGTGCTTTGGAATGGAATGCGCTCTCTCTCTCTCTCTCTCTCAATCTCTCTGGAAGGAAGTGCCCTACTCTCCTAATTCCGGAGAGTGTTGGGCGCAGGTGGGCGAGAGTCGAGGGTGGGAGGTGAGGGGAGGGAATCCAGAGGGGGTTATATATTCTCCAAACATGGCGCCGAGGGCAGAAAGCAGGCTAACCCTGAGAAGACTCAAACAACCCCTTCGCTCTCTCTCTCTCTCTCTCTCTCTCTTTCTCTCTCGCTCTCCTTCGCCTACTTCCATTGCTTAGTCACACTGAACATTTAGGGGGGTGGCGGGAAGTGGGGGGGATGAACGGGAGCGTGAGCGGGAACGGTATACCTCTACAGCTGGAAGCAGTGACTTGAGGCCGGCAGACAGTGAAAAGCGTCGGAGATTAAACACCGAAGGAAACGTTCTTGACTAACCTCGTCGTTGTACCTTTTTGAGGAAACAAAGAGTAAACAACAACGTGTACACAGCCCCTTTCTCGTCGGGAGGACGTCCCAAGGCGCTGGACAGTCAGGGATTTGGACCCGAGCTGTGGGGGTTGGGGATCAGGAGGGGGTGGAGGGCAGAGAGGGTAGGGGGTTAGGAGGGTGACTGAAGGCGCAGTCGAAGAGGAGGGTCTTGAGATGTGCCTTGAAGGAGGGGAGGGAGGGGGCGAGGAGAAGGGACTGTGGGATGTAAAGTTAGTAGGCGACTGGCTGGCTGGGACGGAGGGCGAGTAAAGTTATGGACCACAGATGGAGGTCAAAAGTGTCAGGAAAGTAAAGTTGAAAGTGATGTTGTTATCACTGATACCGTTATTTATCTCGTAACATTAATTGCTTGGCTTTGACCTGTGCGTTTCACAATAGCCTTTGACTTCTGTGATATATTTTTGTTTTATCATACCACCTTTTCTCACTGGCTAGGGACGGTGCATGATTGCTTAATCCCAGGAAGGGAAGGGTAATAATATGCTTTACGGGAGCAATACTTTAAAGGGGAAATAAATTGACAGCTTCCGCCCTCCCCCCCCACCCCCCACCCCCCCCCCCCACTCCCTCGTACAGGGACCCTCAATGTTTGATGTGCTGCCTCACACAGCCACCGACCTGCCGATGCGATTGGGAGCTGTAAGGTTACGGGTCAGGGTGGACAGTGGTTTATTTATCTCACTGCTTAATGACGGCCTTCTGATGGCTACCAGGGGAAGCCATCAGTCTCTTTACTGTAACGCAGGCATCAAATTATAAAGTCATTCCAGCCTTTGTCTTTCAAAATGAGTTTTCTATTGAGCACAGCACGAAAGCACCACTTTGCAGAATGGTGATGGATTGAAGCAATAAATTAAGTGAGTGATGTGTATCCACATCAGCCATCATATGAGGGGCATTTTTTCTGGGAGGGGAGAGAGGGATATATGTGTGTGTGTGTGTGTGCGTTGGGGTGGGAGGTGGGGGGTGTTGGGGGAAGGAGATGGGTGAGCTTTGGACGGTGAACCCACCTTTAAAAGTTGTACCTAAACCATAACCATTTAGGGATATTCAATTGGCCTTTAATCTGCTTAGTGTCGAGGGGGAAAAAATTAATTGTTTGGAGTCGGGAGATTAGAAGAAAAGGGAGTTTCTCTCTCTCTCTCTCTCTCTCTCCCGGTGTCCTGGCCAACAATCCCCACGGCCAGCAAATAAAATCGGTCACTCACCCCCATGGCTGTTTGTGGGGACGCTGCTGTGTGCAAATTACCTGTTGCGTTTCGCCCACAAAATACAGAGTCAACCCACTTTACAGTGTGTTCTGTGAAGCGCTTTGAGACGTCTCGAAGACGTGATAAGGCGCTGTATCAAACGCAAGGATTATTATTATTATTATTATTCTCTGATGGAGATTCTCAGTTCTCTGTGACCAATATGTATGACCAAACAAAAAAGTCTGTGTATAGATCTGGGCAGCAGAATTCTCCCCCCCACCCCACCTTTTCTTGCTCCTGCCCCCACACTCCTCCGCACCCCCATTTTGTTATCCAAATGCAGTAGCTTAGAACAAAAAATGATCCGAACTTCTGTCTCATTAAAGCCACCTCCACGATTGCAGTCTGGCTGTATGTGATTGTACATTTATATATTCTGTATTTATGTTGGACCAAATGTCGATTTCTTTTTACACTCTTAATTGTCACCGGCTCTTAAACCAACCCACGCGCTGTTTCGTGTATCGTCCGAGGCTTGTATTTACAACTTTATGTGGTATCCTCTGACCTCTCCCCTCCCTGCTTCCCCACGCTTGTGTGTGTGTGCGTCTGTGTGTGCGTGTGTGTATCTGTCTGTGTACGTGTGTGTGTGTGTGTGTGCGTGTGTGTGTGCGTGTGTGTACCTGTCTGTGTACGTGTGTGTGTGTGTGTGTGCGTGTGTGTGCATGTCAGGCAGAAACACCTCTCTCCCGACATGCGAGCAACATATTATTGTTATTTAAATTACTTATTATTTTTTACAATTATTTATTAGCGTCTCTCAGTTTCATTTCTGTACCATTGTAACCTCCCGCCCTCCCACTCCCGCGCCCCCACGCCGACTCCCTTTGGTGAACAGGTTCGATCCCCAGCTTTCCTTCCTCCCCCACATCCAGTCCCACTTTCCTCCACCTCTGTCACATCGCCCGCCTCCGACTGTACCTCACGCCAAACTCACCCGAAACCCCAACCTCTGGAACTCTCTCCCTCAGTCCCTTCGCTTTGCCCCCTCCTTCCCCTTTTTCGAGATCAGGCTTGACATCGGGCTCCGCCACTGTTACGAGACACTGCCCTGTGTGAAGGGTGCTGTGTAAATGCAAGTTGTTGTTGTGAACAGCCCCCCCCCTACACACACACACAGACACACGCTCACACCCGCACACACGCACGCACTCCCCACCGTTAACAACTTGAAACTAAGCGTTAAACTGGCTCGCATTCCCTCCCTTAGCAAACCACACACACGCTCACGCACACACACGCACACACACGCTCACACACACACCCTCACACACACACGCTCACACACACACTGTTAACGTAGCCAAGTCTGAGCTCTGTGTAGATCTCTGTGTGGTGGTTTCACGGCTTTATCCGCCTTTAACACAATGATAAAGCGGAGCCAGGAAGATCAAAATGTATTTATAAATAAAAGGAAAAAAAATTCAAATTAGTTTGAACATCACAGTGTCAATCACGGTAAATGTATTATAATAACAATAAAAGAACACTTTACACCGTGTACAGAGTCATTTGTATGTGGAGATGGAATGAATTAACTCAGTTTAATTTTGAGGCTGGGGGGAGGGGATTGGTGGGTAATTTTAATGATAAAAAAAACAGATTAAATGATCCAAATCCTTAAGTGAAGCAGATCTGACATTACACTGTTTTGCTGCAACTTGTGTGTGTGTTAGGGTTAGTGTGTATGTGTGTTAGGGTCAGTGTGTGTGTGTGTGTCAGGGTTAGTGTGTATGTGTGTGTTAGGGTCAGTGTGTGTGTGGGTGTTAGGGTTAGTGTGTATGTGTGTGTTAGGGTCTATGTGTATGTGTGTGTTAGGGTCAGTGTGTGTGTGTGTGTTAGGGTTAGTGTGTATGTGTGTGTTAGGGTCAGTGTGTATGTGTGTGTTAGGGTCAGTGTGTGTGTGTGTGTTAGGGTTAGTGTGT